TTAGTATTGTTCATCCCAAACAATAGCCACATACAATAAACCAATAACAATAACTTAATTAAATGTACAGAAATACAATCACAAAATTACAATTCAACAAAGTCTCTTAATTTTACGGGACGTATCTTCTTCCGTACTGGTCTCCGTCTCGTTGGCTTCTGCTTCACGTGGGGTTCATCTGCATCATCAGGAAATGTCCTATTGTCAGTAACAGTCCCATCAGTGGTAGTAACTTCATCAAGAGCTTCACCGTTTCCCTTCTCAAAACTGATTAGAGTTTCTTCTTCGATGGAGTTGATGTTTGGTTGGGAACTTCAGTTGCCAGTGGATTTGTTAAGAGGACGCCCACCTTATGAAGAGTTGCCTGAAAATGTGTCAGAGTTCGTGAAAGTGTTATTGGAAAGGATGGATAATATTCACCATCAAGTGCATTCAAACTTGAAAACGTTTGCATATCAGGAAGATACAACTGTAGCTTCGGCTATTAGTGATTTCTTCAGATTTGGTATGCCATTCAAACTGCATTCAGATCAAGGCCGTAACTTTGAATCAGCTGTGTTCCATAAATGCTGCAAGTTGTTTGGCATACGAAAGACCAGAACAATGCCACTTCACCCACAGTCTGATTGGATGGTAGAAAAGTACAACTGGACACTGGGACAGGAATTGACAAAGTTTTGTAATAGCCGCCAAGATGACTGGGATGACTTACTCCCTCCACTGTTGATGGCCTATAGGACAGCAGAGCATGAAGCCACAGGATACACTCCAGCACAGGACATGTTATACTAAAAGGAGACCCAAGCATAAAGTACATGCTCCAATGAAGTTTTATCAATTTGACGGACCATTGGAAAGTGTCGGTCATTGACATTGCTGGTACTTTGCCCCAAACTTGTGCTGGAAACAGGTACATTTGTGTGGTGATAGATTATTTCACGAAGTGGCCTGAGGGCACCATTCTTCCACATCTTGACTTATACCTATCCAGTAAAATCTGTCATATGTAACTCAATGTCTTCTTAACTCTGAGATGTCCTCCTGGTAAACTATCATGGGATTGACACAGCACAACTTCCCGTAACTTTCTCGGTATAACTGTTTGCCAGGTCGTGACTTTTCGATCTCCGGAAAAGAATACATCTTCAAGCTTCAACAGGTCTCATTGTTTCCAATAGTTCTTTGTCACAGGGCTTAGACTAGACATCTTCTCCCAAACAGGGCACAAAACACTTGCTTTTAAAAAATCAATTATTGGCTTCAAATCTTGATCTTTCTCCTGCTCTGCTTTAATATCTATACCTGGTTCCACTTCACCATCATCAACTTCTTCAGTTGCTTTGACTTCATCTTCATGGCACCTGGTTAGTTAACCCCTCTTTTAACACCTACCGGAATTTGGCCTTTGTTGTTCCAAAACATCATTTTATCAAAATTAATCACACACTTCCTCGGTAGTAAGTAGTCCAACCATAATATGCATTAGTCTTCATTGTCAGCCAAGTATACTTTGTGTCTGTCCTTCTTGCCAATGAGCTCAACAAGTTACCCACACTTGTCCCCACAACCTTGCAGAATGTCCTGTCACACCACAGAGCTTCTGTATGGTTTCTGGTACTCCTTTGTGATCCAGCATCTTGATTCTCACAAGAGTTTGCTGAGATGCAGAATCTATGCACCTTTGGCCATCCAGCTTTTCTGTCACGTAGACACTATGTGTGCTTGGCATTTTACACTTAGCTGTTGGGACTTTCATAATTGGGGTTGGTGGGCATCCTTCAACATGAACCACTACTGGTTTCCCCGATGGTGAATTATTGGTAGTATTCTCCGTATACTGGCTCTTCATATGTCCTTGCTCTCCACAGTTCCACAACCTCTCTGGGTAATTACCTTTCCTGACATGGCATCTTCCCTGTGTTGAAGTTTCCAGCATTGAGGTCTCTTTTGCCCAGGTTTGTTACAGCACCAGCAAAGTCCCTCAAACTTCTCTGAAAGCTGCCCTTGAATCTTGATGACTGTACAACCTTGGTATCTCTGTGCTGGACTTAACATAGGATTCAAATTCAAGAGCTCTGGCCATTGCATCCTGCATAATAGAGGGGTGTGCTTGCTTTACTTGTATCTTCTGTTGTGGACTGTCCAAGGCATCTATGAACTGATCCCTCAGCAACAACTTGAGAAGATCGGGTGGTTCAGTTGGGTAGGCCTTGTGTGCCATGCTCTCCAAGTCCTGTGCCAGACCAAAAAAAATGGAAACGAGAAGCGGCAAATCAAACTACAGCTTAGCAGATTTGATGGCAGCAAGGAAACAAGAAGAACGAGAAAACAAACAAGAAGAGAGATTACAGCAGTTGTGGGAGGAAAAAGAAAAAAAACAAGAAGAGAGACAACAGCAGTGGCAAGAAAACCTGCAACAGTGACAGCTCGAACAGCTAAATAAACAAGAGAGACTACAGCAATGGTTGGAGGAGAAAGAAAATAAACAAGATAAGAGATTACTGCAGTGTCAACTGGAACAAGAAAGGAAACAGGAAGAAAGTCTCCAACAGTTACAGGAAAGTCAACAACAGTGGCAAGAAGTACAAATGGAAAACATTGGTAAATTTCAAAGTGAATTAAATGCATTAAACGATGATTTACTGTCTTGTACACAAGGAGGATATAATAGCCATCGACCTAATCAGCCTCAGACAATGTGAAGCTTCTTCCATACCCCGCAGCTAAACCCTAATGCAGACATCTTCAGTCCTGTTAGAAGTCACATCCCAGATATGAATGTCAGCAATAGGGGTGATATAGTATGAAGAAAGCCACAGGAATTCGATGGGAAGACACCATGGGAAGCATATAGAGCACAATTTGAGCTACTGGCAGAAATAAATGGATGGACAGAAGAGCAGAAAGCAGTATATCTGGCAACCAGCTTGAAGGGACAACCACTGGAAATACTTGGACAGTTGTCAGTAGACGAAAGCCACAAATATAGAGCACTGGTAGTGGCTCTAGAACTTAGGTATGGAACCCCAAATCAGTCTGAAGTCTACAGAGCTAGGTTTAGGATGGGAGATCGTGCTAAAGGGGGAGAGCCTGCAAGAGCCCACTCTCCGACACCAATTTGTTACACCTCTGGTCGTTTGTTAATTTCCCGTATAATTTCTTTCGGATGAAACTTTAGCGGTACAAATCCTTTCATAAGTAAAACTAGTTTATTCTTTCTCAATACAACTTTGCAATACACTTAATTTCCACAATCACTTTAACTGTTGTGTTAGGCAAAATGATTAGAAGTAATAGTAACCAAAAGAAAAACATAAGTTAATACACACTGGGGAGAAACATGCAATTGTGTTATGTTTGATGATAATTAATAAGGGAAATAAATCATACAGTGATAGTGCATGGTAAAGAGTTTGAATTAAAATTTCACTTTAAACAACATCAAAGAATTCACACTTTGAAGAAGCCATACAGTTGTGTAGTGTTTGGACAAAATATATGGAAGAAATGTTGTTCTGAATATACATTACAGCAATGGTTCTCAAATGTTTGAGATTCGTGTACCACTTTTTCTTTAATCTTTAAAATTACAAACCCAGGCCTAATTAAGAACCTAGTACCATTTTTGTCAATTTCAAGGGAAGAAAATACTGGCGTGTCTATGCAGGTAGAGGGTGAGTCTATAAGTGAGGAGAGTAGTATGTATATGTACGTGGGAAGCTCAGTTAGGACTTATGTAACACCAATGTTAGCTCCATGTACCACTAATGGTATACGTACAACACTTTGGGAACATAATAGAAAAAAAACACATTTGTGTCAAGTGTGGCTACGATTTTGAAAGGAATAGTCACCTAAAAGAACATGAGAGGATACACACTGGTGAAAAACAATAAATTTGTTCAGTATGCAGCAATGTATTTGGAAGATAAAGTGTCTTAAAAGTACATCAAATGATACACTAAGGATAAACCATATGGTTGTGTAGTCTGTGGCAAACAGCTTGTAAGCTTTAAAATACATGAGAGGAAACACACCGAGTGTGAATTAAAGGAATGTAAAATGTGTAGCTGTTTGCTCAAATGTGAGATTACACAAAGTGGAGAAAAACATCCAGGTTATGTTGCACGTTGCAAAGAATTTGTTTGAAGTTTTCAAATAAATTTACGTGAGATGCTGCATGATGACATGGTTGGGTAACATTGCAGAGAAACTAGAAGTTTCAATATGGTTGTAGTATTTGTTACAGAGAATGTACACTATTACATCTGAAAAATGTCACTGAATTAAAAACACAAACTTACTCTTGACATGCATTTGGTAAAAAAGTTGAATAAATGTCAACTCAAACTATTATTTGATTCACAATACGTATACTTATGGAACAATGAGTGGAAACAAATAGTGTCAAGATGTTATATACTGTGGATAAACCATGAAGTTTGGAGATTTTTAAATGGTTCAAACCTACTAAAGAATAAATTTAACTGCACTGTAATAAAATCCTCATTTGTGAAGTATGTAAAAGAATTTAATGTTATGTGATTCTCTAGAATACACAAAATAGTTATATTGGTTTGCTGAGAAAAGTCTCCATATAATTCTTTTCTGAGGACATGTCTTCCCATGATTCTGTTGATATGTTTCTTTTACAGACTTTCTATAAACATTTAAGGGTTGTGAACATTTTACAAGAATTAGATTTCTTGTTAAGAAGAGGTTAAAACAGAGGAAACTGCACTGAGAAACTTTTATGGAATATTGAATTGAGAACATCATTTCAGGGTACAACAAAAAAAAAGGTGTGAGAAGATAAGCTAAAAGACCCAGTTATAGTTTGAGTGCTCTTTGCTAGGCAACAAGGCAAAACATGACCCTCATAGACTGGTGAATGTAGTGTAATATAGCAGCATGTAAGAAGTAACAGTTTTACTCAAAATATTCAGATGTTTAACAAATCATAAAATAACTTAGTAGCATGAAATGCTTTATTTAAAATATAAAATATTTAACTATATCAACTTTATTTTCCTCATACTGATTACATATATTAAAACAAATATCCAAATCCAATTTGATAAAATAAGAATTATCTGACTTTTTGCAGAACATACGAAATAAAATAAAATATCAATATTTTTACTGTTTATTTTTAATCACTTGTGTACTGGTATTATCTTTATATCATGACTAAAACAGAAGATTTAAGACCTTTAAATTTGCTACATTGTATCTTCAAAGTAAAACATAATGATAAATAATTGAAATAATCAAAATGATTCTCTCTTTTTCGTCAATAACAAAATTTCAATTACAAATAAAGTAACAAATCCTTTTCAACTAAACCTGACAGTTGAAATAACATGAAACAATAACATAATTCTAAAACTGACAGTTGTAATATCTTGAAACAATGACAGTTCTAAAACTAAGAGTTACTATATTTTGAAACAATGATATAATTCTAAAGTACCTTGCTATTTTAACATTACTGTTTATATCAAATAATAGTGTATTACTATAACAACTTACAATTTTACTCAGAGTATTCAGATGTTTGTTATAAAATCATTGAATAACTTAATAGCATGAAATGTTTTATATAAACTTATAAAACCTTTAACTATATTAAATTTATTTTCCACAAGCTGACTACATATATTAAAAATATTGTTCCTTAAAAGAAGATTCCAAATCCAATTTGATTAAATAAAAATTATCTGACTTCTTGCAGAACATACGAAATAAAATAAAATTTCAACATTTTTACTGTTTATTTTTAATCACTTGTGTACTGGTATTATCTTTATATCATGACTGAAACAGAAGACTTAAGGCCTTTAAATTTGCTACACTGTATCTTCAAAGTAAAACATAATGATAAATAATTGAAATAATCAAAATGATTCTCTCTTTTTCATCAATAACAAAATTTCAATTACAAATAAAGTAACAAATCCTTTTCAACTAAACCTGACCGTTGAAATATCTTAAAACAATGATATGACTCTGAAGTACTTTGAAACAATCACATAGTTCTAAAAGTTCTCAATTTTGGGCATCGTTGTTAGACGGAACATCTAACATGTGATCATACATAATCTTATCACTTTCTTCATAGCTTTTTCCTGTAATTTCCATGTGAACTTTGATTAATGTCATTGGAAGCAAGACTTTCAGAATGTAGTCAATAGTTTTCTGAAAACAATTCTGATTATCAAAATCATGAATACATTTTACAACATACATAAATAAGGTAGCTTGCATATAAAATTTAGAAATCTTACAGCTCTATCATAGTTCTAGTTCTTTTTATTATCTGATATTTATTAAGATATAATCTAGTTAAAAATATTTAACACTGGGTTACTTAAATGCTACAGCAAAGATTGTGATAGGAAGTAGCAAAAACTGAATCTTATTTCTGTTATTTTACTTTTGAAAAACTGACCTATAATGCTTTGATCCAAGTTGTTCCAAGTACATTGTTTTGATATTCAAAATTGAAGAGGCTTGTCATTACTATTTATCACGTATTGAAAAAGCACTGACCATACGGCTTCTCTTTTCAACATTTTTCAATTTGTATTTTATCTTCAATCTTTATTATCACTAATACACTTTTGAATGTTACTTATTTTGAGAATTTGAAAGTACTACTAAACCTCGATAAGCATTATATAATAAATTAGTTACAAAAGATTAAGGATAATTAAATTATAAATATTACCATACAAGAAGTATTATCTGGTTACATATGAATCCTTCAAGCAATGCTATAATCTGAATTGATAATTTACCACATGAATATGTTGCTAAAAACTGAAGGCCTTAAGTCCACTAAAAATTTTTAAAAACGTGACTTACTAAATTCACTAACTCATGAATAATTGACATAAAAGTTATATTGTAACAAAGTTTAAAAAAATGAAAAGTTGTAGAAAATATTCATGTTTCATACCACTGGATTTTTCTTGCAATAAACTTCCATCAACAGCTCCATCAAGAAGTCAATTTGGTCTTCCTTAAATATGGACAGTGGCACTTGATATGTTGAGGATCCTTATAAGAAAAAATTAGATTAAAATTAACCAACAAGCTCCTTCACAAGTGTGGTCAGATAGCATCAAGTTTCCATTTAAAAAGAGTCCTTTAAATTCTCAGCAGTGACTCAGCTGAGACATTTTAAACTGGTGTGAACAGAGCAATTTCATTACACAACTCCCTCAAGCTGCACAAATATGTAATCAAGGTAAAATAAATTTAATTTGTCACCACAATATATATACTTATAAGACATGTACCGGTACCTGTTTTTCTGTAAAATGGTAATACTTCAGTTTCTCCAGTCAAATAATGTTCTACATAGTCTTTACTATGGTCTGGAATCTCACTTTAAAAACATTATAGCAGACATTACAGTACAGGAATTGTGTGGGATGTTACAATGAAAGTTAATGGAAAACAACTATGTAAAGGAAATATAAATGAAACAGCATTTTACATTATTGTGGTACATAACACCTTATGCCAGAAAAGAATAATCTACTGGTCAGTTGTTTATATGACATTATCATAGTGCTAATTGAAATGCTATTATAGTAACAGTAGAGAAAGATCTGTTAGAAATCAGTCTCACTGCGATGTTACTTCAGACAAACTAATCAACACTTTTATTTGGTATA